GTCCTAGGGTTTTTTGAAACTTTAAGGCATAATGTACCCAAATACTACTGTAGAGATATATGTGTATTCATGTGGCGTGAGGTTATTATTTGGCTTGGGGCTACTGTTTTCAAACAAAACACATTGCATGCCAACCAACCCTATTAGGTACTTTGTAAACTAAAACGATGCTTTAAGCCCCCTTAAGGTACCTTTCCATGTTTTTGTGAAAATAAAGCAAATAAACATATAGATGTCGCAAAATGTCTAAGGCCAATGTTTTGATTACAGTTTCAGTATTGTACATGTGTTTGTTGATGTGTTATTTATTTATGTATGTTCACCTAATTTAGTTGCTCTTGTCCTAGGATTTTATTGGTGCAACTTCAAGACATAATGTACCCAAATACTGATGTGGAGATGTATATATATATATGTGTGTGTATTCATTTGGTGTGGGGTTATAATTTGGTTTGGGGTTACTGCATTGCAAACCAAAACCATTGCATGACAACCAACCTATGTTTCGGGTTTCTATTTTGGAAACACACAGCCTTCAATCAAACACAAACCATGGTTGGTACTACATGTTTATCTAAAAACCAGGCAACAATAAGCTTTGTTTTGTATTTAATTGTTTTACTGAAAAAACTTACAAAGAATAGTAACTTATATTTGGGGTTACTTCTTTTAAATTATCCCAACAATAGATCCCTGTGGTTATTTGTGAGCAAACCAAGGCACTGAAAGTTTGCATGAAAGTTTCAATGTAGCCCTGCACATTTCTTTAAACTTTCAATCCAGCCTTGAAAGTTTGCATTGAAACTTTCAATCCAGCCCTGCAAGTTTGCATTGAAAGTCTCAGTCAAATTATTAACCCCCCTGAAAGTTTGACTGAAAATTTGCAACAAACTTTCAACAAACTTTCAGGGCAGTAAACAAAAAATAAAGAGAAAATGTGTTTTTTTTTAATAGCGTTTATTTTCTTGAAAACCATGTGTTTTTGTTTAAAAAAAATGTTTTTTAGTTCAAAACTGTTTTTTTCAAAAAAATAGGTTTCATGTATGTTATTGGTTGAAAAAATATTTAAAAACAACATACCAGAGGAAGTAGAAACCAAATTGGTTGTGCAAAGCACACTGTGGGCCGTAATAGAAAATATGTTTTTTTTGGTGCCTTGGTTTGCTCACAAATAAGCACAGGGATCTATTGTTGGGATCATTTTAAAAGAAGTAACCCCAAATATAGGTTATTATTCTTTGTAAGTGTTTTTTCATTAAAAAAACAAACCAATAGTTGTTTATTGTGCAAATTGTTTTGACATGTTACACCCACCATGTTTAAATGTGTTTTAAAAAGTAACCCAAGGCATGGTTTGGTTGTCATGCAATGGTTTTGGTTTGCAATGCAGTAACCCCAAACCAAATTATAACCCCACACCAAATGAATACACACATATATATATACATCTCCACATCAGTATTTGGGTACATTATGTATTGAAGTTGCATCAAAAAAATCCTAGGACAAGAGCAACTACACTAGGTGAACATACATATAACACATCAACAAACACATGTACAATACTGAAACTGTTCAAACATTTGCCTTAGGCATTTTGAGACATCTATATGTCTATTTGTTTTTTGTTTTCCCAAAAAATGAAAAGGTACCTTAAGGGGGGCTTAAAGCATCTTTTTATTTTACAAAGTACCTAATAGGGTTGGTTGGCATGCAATGGGTTTAGTTTGCAAACAGTAACCCCAGGCCCCAAGCCAAATAACAACTACACACCAAATGAATACACATATACCTCCACATTAGTATTTGGGTACATTATGTCACATTATGCCTTAAAATGCCATCAAAAAAACATAGGGCAAGAGCAATTACATAAGGTGAACATACATAAATAAAAAAAAGAAAAACACATACTGAAACTATAATCAAATATGTTCATTACACATTGTTGGGGCATTCCCATTTCTATATTTTTTTTAATTTGCTAAAAATATAAAGGTACCTTAAGGGGGTTTAAAGCACCTTTCATTTTACACAGTACCTAATAGGGTTGGTTGGCATGCAATGGGTTTGGTTTGCAAAACTGTAACCCCAAGCCAACCAATAACACCACACCAAATGAATACACATATATCTCTACAGTAGTATTTTATTTGGGTACATTATGTCTTAAAGTTTCAACAAAACCTAGGACAAGAGCAATTACATTAGGTGAACATACATAAATAACAAAACAAAAAGCCACATGTACAATACTGAAACTGTTTTTTTGCCACATATACCATCACTGATTATTGATGCAATATATATATATATACATACTGTGTATATATATATAAATACTATGTATTTGTTCATTTATTGTTTTTTGTTCTTCATTCTTTATATATATATGTGTGTGTGTTTTTTTCTATTTATATATTTATTTATCTTGTGAATGTTTTGAACACGAACCACTTATTAAAGTCGCAGCATATCTTTAAGTATTGTTTTCCATTATTGCATGCATAGGACAAATATTCATTTCACAAAAACATATTACCATCTAAAAATAAGAAAATCTCATGCAACACCTTTTGTGAATGATAAATAGCACAATGGTTGGTTGATACATGCACGAGGTCTTTGGTATTTGGGCTACTTTTTTGGTGAAAGGTTGGAAATTATGTCAAGTGTACAAGTGCATGTACCATCTATGTAGCACAGTGGTGCTCAAGATTGAAGTTACTTGTCACTTGTCGCCGCTGTTGGTAACCTCATGAAGAGGCCTGTCCACCTGATGCTATGCTTGCTTTTGCCTCCGCCTGAACCAGCACCAGAATCTGTAGAACAAGCTTCTCCAGAAGAAGCTGCCCCATAAGCTGACTTAGATACTTAGATACTGCAGCACCAAAGGCAAAGGCCAAAGCCAAGGTGAAAGCAAAATCTAAAGTCAAGGCAAAGGCAGCAGGTAAAGCCAAGGCGGCTGCCAGCAAAGCTCCTGGGGTTACTTCTTCGCCAATGAAAGCTCAAAAGGCAAAAGCCAAGAGCACAATGAAGAAAATCCTGACAAGACCTGATGCAGCTGAAGGCGAAAGCCAAGGCCAAAGCGAAGACTGTCAAGGAGATGGCAGCAGGATGGAAGAAGACCAGGGATGAGCCAGTTCCTGATGACCATGCAGAAGGAGAAGATGAGGAGCCTAAAGAGGAGGATGCAACAGTTGCTGATGATGAGCATCGAAGCTACCCCAAGGTAAGGAAATGTGCCAGAATGATCAAAAGTGGCCAGGTGCCAGAAGATCTTCAGCAGCTCTATGAAGAGGGCTCCAAGAATTCTCCTGCCCCAAGGTTATTTAAGAGTCAATTCATCAACAAAGTCTTTCAGCAGAACACCAGTGGCGAGTCTGTGTTTGCTCCTGGAAATACCCAGTGCGATTTTTTCAAGAAGAACTCTGAGATTTGCACCAACAAATCTCAGGTTACTGGGTTGCCTCACTCCATCATGTCGTGGAAAAAATCCAGTGAAACCAGCAAGCTTTGAATGAGCAGAAAGACGAGGTGATGTCTATCAGAAAGATGGGTACTATCATGTCAGGACAATAGCCACAGCCATTGAGAAGAAGCAGGGCAGTTCCATGGTCTTGCATGGTGGCCAAGCCAACATCACCAAGGATGAGTTATTCGCAGATGAGTCAATTCATGCCGAGCAGGCCCTGGAGCCTAGTCACGGCCTAGTCACGGGCCCGAGGACCTACCAGGAGGTGTGACTGTCCCCAACCGACCTCGGTACTCCCTTCGCTTAGCCATGGATGTTCACTGTTTGGAACCGTCTCTGTTTCATGATGCATTGACCACAGTTCTTTGCGAAGTGATTGTGTATGACATGGATCAGCAGAAACATGTTCTGAAGACTGCACTCAAAGGTGTTTTTGTGAGGTTCGAAGGTTACCTTCCGAGTGGTTCCACTATTGTCCTTCTTTCAGGTGCTCAGGCCAAACAAACTGAGCGAGGGTTCAATTTGATTGCCACTGACTCAACCGAGATTTTTCCGAGACCGTACATTTGTTTCCAGAGCCTTAGGCAGGTGGTAGAGGTCTGCTCAGGAGCTGGCTTCAGTTTGCGTTGTGACCATGCGCAGACCATGCTCGACCTTGCATCCCATTTGCACAAAGCCCCAGTAGCCCTTGGTGATGTCTGTACAGACTCCTTGCTGCATCCGATTTGCCAGAGCCAAGCTGGCACAATAGCATCCGGAATAGCGTGTCAACCGTACTCCAAACTTGGAGATCAGAAGCATGACCAGGACTCAAGATCACTCACACTGCCAGGTGTTTTGCGATTGGGGTTTTTAGGACGTTTTGGCGCAATTGTCCTTGAATGTGTGGCCACAGCATCCACTTGCCCATGGTTCCAATCGGTCTTGAAAAGATTCACTGAAATCACTGGGTAGCATTTCCCAAGGGGTCCTGAACCTCCAAACCATTTGGCCTTCGCGCAGGAGCAGATGGTGGTGCATCCTGACGCACCCATCGATTGGTTGCATCCCATGGCAACCGATGCCAACCGTCACAACAGTGCCTATCATTGCAGATTTGCTTGATCGTTTCAAAGTTTGCACGGAAGAAGAGTTGAAACAACTTGCTTTGGATTTGTATGAGTTGGGACGTTTTGGGGCATATGGTTTTGAACAAAATGAGATTCCTTGGCAGGGTCAAATGCCCACCAGTCTCCACAGTTGTGGAAGCCAGCTAGGCCTTTGCCCATGTGGTTGCCGCATGTTTCCATTTTGCGATGACAGGTTGATTGCCAAAGGTTTGCATGGACTTCTGGTTCGACTTGAGGACACAGTCCGTTGCGGCTACAAAGAGTATCAGTGTTACAGGCATGTACACCCAGCAGAACTTGCCCTTTTCAATGGGATGATACCCGACCTTGATTGGGGGCAAAATTCCAAGATGGCATTGTGTGCTTTGGGACAAATTGCTTCTCCCATCCAAGCTACATGGGTAGGCTCTTTGCTCATGCAAACCCTGCAGAATATCGTTGACCATCCTGCCCCGATTGAACCATATGAAAATCTCATGCAATGGTTTGACAAACTCTTGGACGGACGGGACAAAGTTTTTGGACCACAGACCAATCCGAATGCCAAACTCTTTCGACACCTTGTCACCACCAGGGTTTTTGCCACCAAGATCCCGCCACAGATTCACCACATTGACACCCATGACAGCCCAGGTGATGCCCACGGGCAAGCCCAGGTACCGAAGCCTGCAGGTCCCATGCAAGCAGATCACGTGCAGCCGAGCACCCGTCCAGACCAGCATGCATCCGTGATCCAGGGTCCGTTTGTACAGTCATCCGTTGCAGAACATCCGACAGTGAGTGAGAGCCTTATGCCAGGGTGTAGAGTGACTGCCACGGCCAACTTTGCCGATCACCAAGTCACCCCACATGCAAGTGGAGGGGTAACGGGTTTTGAAACTTGTTGTGCAAAAGCTAGGAAACGGATGTCATGTGATGATGCAGCTTCGAACAGCCGGACTGAGTCCAAGCCATCTAGCCAAGCCGTAGCAGCTGATCATTTGCCCAATGAAACCATCCGTGCAACCGAACCAGTCAGAGAAGTGCCAGCCTTTGCAGCCGATCATGTACAGACAAAGCTTTGCCCATTGGGCAAGATCGACACTGCCAATGACCCTGCCTATGGGGACATTTCACTTTCAGCTTTGCCGACTTTCAACACCAGGCATGACAACAACCGACATGCCCAGCAGCAGTGCCCAAGTCTGCATCCGGGCCTTGACCGGCCACCCATGTCCCCCCCGGCCCCTTTTCATGCCATGCCTCTTCCACGTTTAGGGTGTGGAGGCCCCTCCCAGTGTGATGAGAACGATGGCAAGTCAGATGCAGACCCAGCTTTTCCAACCACGAAAATTGCCAATGCTTTGGGCAAAACAATTGAAGTCACCCAAAAGATCTTGCCCCAATGCTTCACAGCTGATTGTGGTTTCCAATCTGTTGCATGGCTTTTGGCTATCCTCAGCAATCTGCCAGTTGAAGCCATGACTGACGACAGAGCAGCACAGTGGAGACAGCTTTTCATCAATGAACTTTGCAGGCAAGACAAATGCGATGAATGGATTTCTCATCTTGATCTTGGAGGAGCCAAACTTGACCAATCAGAAATGACCAAGCTGACAAGCCTTCTGACACAGCATGGAGTTTGGCCAGACCGGGCATTGGAAAGAGCCAATCAGCTTATCAGTGCGATGCCTGCGGTGAACATACGAAACATTCTTGCTTCTCACCGGCCATGGCAAGATCTGAAAGCTGCAGCCAATGGGGTCAAACCACAAATCAAGCTCATCATGATCGATGAGCTCAATGCACAGATTGCCAACAGAGCTGACCAACGCAAATATGGCAAGAAAATGTCCTCGCACAAGAGACACGAGCCAGCCAAGGACAATCCCACAGCCCAAGCATCCGAATTGATGGTACCCCAAGGGGTGTTCAAACAGCAGGATGGCACGATCCTTGGCCCTCTGCAGATAGGAGATGTTGGACCCAATGCCAAAGGAGTCTTACTGGTTGACCAAGCCGACTGCCAGGCCACTTTGCGCCTGCCGAAACCGGTCTCACAAATGGGTTTGGCTGTCATTGTCTTGGCCACAAAGAACAATGAAGACATGCACAGCATCACACCGACCAGGTTTACAGCGATGTGCCTTTCCACTCAGGAGCCTCTGATTGCATCCGGATACATGTACCAACTTGGCCACCAGGAAGTCATCCGACACGAACCCAGCAACAAGCTTGCCATAGATGAGCAGCCCACTGAAGCTATCAGGTGCATGGTTTTCAAAGATCAGGCGGGAGATTTCTGGGAGCAATTGCGACAGCAGCCGGTCAATCACATCTTTCAGACAGAACCACTGCTTGCCACACCACCAGGCTCAACCTCAATCGTCATTGATGTTTGGGATCGCCAGTGGGTGTCCAAGAAATACGAGAAAGTTCGCCCTGCAAATGCTGAAGTCTTCACCTTTTCCATGAGGATGCTGGCAGACAAAGCCGATGAACTGTTGGCCAAGAGCGGACAGGCTGGAGTGTACTGGGAACCCAGATCTGCATGCGGCAGGTTTCCCAATTCCAACTACCATGTTACATGGCTGCCACAAATGACATTCCAAGATGCCAAGTATGCCCAGCAAACGTCACCACAGGCAACCACATTGGCCAGGCATGGCGAACGATATGGTCTGCGGAGTGATACACTCAATGCTCAGGAGATCCATGAAAAACACAGACCTGACACACCGCTTCTGCTTGGCCAATCCAAGATGCTTTATGCAGTCGGTCACTTGCCTTTCAGCACAACCAAGGCCGCCTTGTGCAAGCTGCTCAAAGCCTGGAGTTGGGATGCAAGACCGCTCCAACCAAAGGGGCGGGCGCAAGATGGAAGTGGAATCACTTGGCACATCCAGGCAGTTGAAGACCCGGGTCACTGGGTTTACTCTTTGCAGCATGGCGATGTTTTGGTGACCAAGTTGCAGGATCCCAAACCACCCACATATGCCAAGCCTTTTTCCATCGTTGCATCCAAAAAGACCATCGAACACCTGCAGGGCACAGATCCTTGGATCAACTACGACCCATGGAGGAAAGACGGTGCTCAGCCCAGCCATTTGCAGGCCAAACAAATGCCTCCCAAGCCCTCGGGACAGCCAGTCCCTCATGCCCAGCTTGCCGCCATGGAAGCCAGTTTTGACAAAAAGATCCAACAGATGCACAAACAGACAGATGGAGATGAACCCGTGGAATCAGCCCACATCGAAGCCAGAATCTCCCAGCTTGAGCAACAGTTTCAGCAGGTCCAAGCCATGCAACTTGGCACCGATGCCAAGGTGGGACAATTGCAGCAGCAAGTGGACCAACAAAGCAAGGCACTGGGAGATCGCATCGATGAAAAGCTGAATACGCACATGGAACGCATCGAGATGCTTCTCTGCAAGAGAAGCCGACATGAGTGACTAGGAAAAGCCCTTAATTATGATTTGAGCTTGCCGCACAGAAGGCCACACCGAAAGCCTGAGCCCAAATCATTTGCATGTTTTCGCCAACTGACCATCAGAGCAGTCAGCAAGTTCCGAACAATTTGTTTGTTGCTCATTGTGTTTGCCAACACTTTTAGGCTGGGGGAAGCCAAAACTCCAGGACCAGTGATTGGAAACATGAACCCTACCGGCTTGATGGGGAAAGCTTCTGACATCGCTTCACTCCCCAGGGGAGTGTATGCTTTCCAAGAATCTCATCTAACCAGTCAAGGTATCCGGAAGTTCAAGCAAGAGCTGACCTGGAGAAAATCTGGGTACAATCTCTGTCACGGATTCCCAGCACCACCAAAATTTGATTCTGTGAGAACCATTGGAGGCCGACACACCGGCACAGGCATCCTCAGTGCCTACCCATGCAGAGCCTTGGACCATCACTGGACCAAGGAACAGTTCCAATCAGGACGTTGTCAAGTTGCAGCAGCCTTCGTCCAAGATAGATGGATCACATGCGGCACAGTATACGGTTTCAGTGAGAGGTCACACTGCCTAGATGTCCAGCAGAATACAGGCCGATTGCTTGATGGTCTCACCAGCCGTGTAGTTGACGGAGCACATGGTTTGAGAGTTGTCACAGGGGATTGGAACCAGGAGAGACAAAACCTCCACCAAGCTGATTACTGGGAGTCTAAAGGTTGGATGGAAGCTCAACAATTTGCCCAGCGTCGTTGGTCCACCCCTGCCATGGCAACCTGCCGTAGAACAACCATCAAAGATTACATGTTTCTTTCACCAGAAATTCAGCCTTATGTAGTCGACATCCAGTTGGATTGGTCGTTGTTCTCTGACCACACTGTGCTCCAGGTTTACTTGGCTGACTTGGGAAAACCTCCACCAGTCCCTATGTGGCGCAAGCCTGCGCACATTGACTGGCAATCCAAGCCAAAGCACACATTGGAGTGGCCACATCATGCAAGGCAAAGCCCAAACACAGATGAATGGTACCGCAACATCTGGCACAACGTTGAAAACTATGCATCAGCTTTGAGTGTCATCAATGATGGGCCCCGTCTTGCTCACAGCCAGACCGGCCGTGCCAGTACCACTGAAGTGAAATGGACCCAAGAACAAGCAACACCCCTCCGCAGCAACAGGAGAGGGGATATCCAATCAGCCATCTCAGTAGGATCTATGCAGTACAACAGGTGGACCAGACAGATCCGCAGGTTGCAACACTTTGCCCGCTGTGCAGGATCACCTGGATCCCCCACGGTTGATGAACACCGAGCGTGCCTTTGGGGGAAAATCATCCAAGCCCCAGGTTTCCCAGGTGGCTTCCGTATGTGGTGGGCACAACACCCAAAAATGTTCGCTGACACACCATGTATGCTCCCCTGCGCTCCACCTGGAGCAGAAGTGGCTAATGCGATTTTCCTTGAGTTCAACAAAGTTTATAAAACTGTTGAGCAAAGCTTGATACAAGCCAAATCCATCCATGCGTCACAACGCGGATCAAAGACCCTCTGCAGATCTACAGAGACTTGCCAAGAGAGAGAGAGAGAGAGAGAGAGAGAGCAGAGCCAGTTCAGACCATTGTGGTTGCGAAAGACATTGGGGTCCTGCACACCCATGAAGTTGATGAAGAAACCACACAAATCAAACTTGCCTCACCACTCCCGCAAGGGCTGCAAAACATACCGGTTGGTGATGTTGAAACCCATGTCCAAGTTGTGGATGAACATCAACTTTTGGTCCCAACATCAGTGGCGAACCAGCTTTCTTCGTCCATCCAAGTCCGTAGAGTTGAAGCAGACTGCACTGCCATCCTGCATGAGTTTGAAAAAGAATGTGCGCCGAGATGGCAAAAACACGATGATACGAGTGATGAACACTGGCAAGTAATCACCGACTTTATGAAACATGCCATGCCTCAGCAACACGCCAGTTTTCCGCCCATCACTGCCCAAGTTTTTCTCAGAGCCGCGTCCAACAAACGGAAGTTCGCGGCCGTGGGGCCGGATGGTGTTTCCAAGCAAGATCTTTTGCACCTTCCTGCTACAGCCATAGAAGATTTGCTGGAGCTCATCCGAGCGTTGGAAAAAGGGGCTAAATGGCCCAACCAAGCCGTGACGGGACTTGTTTCTGCTCTTGCGAAAGTTCCCTCAGCTCAAAAAGTTCAACCGTACCGACCCATTTGCATTTTCAGTATGTTTTACAGGGTTTGGAGCTCCATCCGAGCAAAGCAGTGTTTAAAGCATCTAGTGTCCATTGTCCCTAGCACCTTGATGGGAAACATTCCAGGCCGAAGCCCACAGAAGGTCTGGTTTCATGTTCAACAGCTCATTGAGCATTCCTATTGCTCGCCAGGTGAGGTTGCCGGCAGTGTCATTGACATTGTTAAGTGTTTCAATGCCTTGCCCAGGTTTCCCTTGCTGCAGATTGCCCGTTTGGTAGGTTTGCCTGACGAAGTTGTGATACCCTGGACCACTGCACTCAAGCAAATGCAACGCAGATTTCAGGTCAGATCCACTGTCGGCCAGGCAATTTCTAGTTCCACAGGTTTTCCAGAGGGTTGCGCACTGAGCGTGGTTAGCATGGCCATTTGCAACATCACCATGGAATTGTGGATGTACTACCGATACCCGTCGGTACGCCTATGGTCTTTTGTTGATAACATAGAGTGCACCACGGAAGACACCGACCAGGCCATCCAATCCCTACAGGGGCTTTTGCAGTTTTGCTCCTTGATGGACTTGAGCATTGATCATGACAAGACTACCTGTGATCGACTTCAACCTCCGGCCGCAAAGCCATACTGAACAGCCAGTTGCACAGAAAGTTTTATGCCCGAGACTTGGGTGGGCACATGAACTACTCCAAGAAGAGGACCAATGGAACAGTCCAGGAAAAGATACAAATGCTTGCCCCTTTTTGGTCCAGGCTTGCTAGATCTTGTGCCCCAGGTAAGCAGAAAGAGAGGGCAATTTTGGTATCGGCATGGCCCAACATCTTCTACGGAGTGAGCACCATCACCTTGGGTAACAACCACTACCAGCGATTGCGATCCCAATGTGCCAGAGCACTCAATGCCAACCAAACCGGAGCCAACCCAGACCTTCAGCTTGCATGTGTCAGCCCACCCTTGAATGACCCAGAGCTGTATAGTGTTGTCACAACAGTTTTGGCCTTGCGTAACCATGGGGACCCTGACCTTACACAGTTCACTTTGCAACACTTGACATCGGGAGGCACAAGCTCACCAGGACCATGCCAGAGCTTCCTTGCCGCAATCCATAAGCTTGCCTGGCAATGGGTAGATGGAGATTTATGCCTTGACCAAGACGGTCTCCCGATACAGATTTTCCAATGCCCCAAAGCTGAACTTAAACAAAGACTCATCCTGGGATGGCAACAGAGAGTTCTTGAATCCACCGAAAGCTTGCGCTCCACCATGAGTGGCTTGACCTTTTCAGATGTTAGGTTAATTAACCCAAAAAGCCTTTAGAAACCTGCAGGATGAACACCAGGGACTCATGAGATGCGCCTTGAATGGAACACAGTACACAAATGATGCCTTGAGCCATGCACGTGTGGTCGAAACAGACCTTTGTAGGTTTTGCCAAGCCAGGGATAGCCTTTACCACCGTACATGGGAATGTCCGCACTTCAGAGACTTGCGTGATGCCTTGCCCAAGCTGCCGGACCCGACTGAGCAGTCAAAAAGCACGCTTTGCCATGGGTGGTTGCCTAGATCGCCTGACCTCACTAAGCTCAGGTCTTTGTTTCTAACTCTGACTGACACCACAGGAGTCTTTACAAAAGTGACCACCAACCAACTGCAGTTTATTGATCTTTTTCTTGATGGAAGCTGTGTGCATCCTACCGAACCTGATCTGAGAATTGCCAGCGGTTGCTGCTCTCAAGTACTGCACAAACCAAGCCCGTCCTTGCCGTTTATGGTTTGACAATGAAAGCGTCCAGCAGATGATAGCTCATTGGATCCAAGGATTTGAACCGTTTTGGCAGGAAAAACAAGATGCAGACCTATGGTTTTTACTCCATGCGCAGTTTCAACATGCTAGGCCGTTTGTCCATGCGTCAATGAAAGTCCAGGCACATGCGAAACCTCCTCTCCAAGAAACGGTTTTGGATGAGTGGGCGGTTTGGGGTAACGGTATGGCAGACCTTTTTGCGGAAGAAGCAAGACAACAGCTTTCACTGGACTTCTGGAACACCTGGACTGCTGTGAAAACGCATCAGTCAAACACCTGGAGTTTTGGTCAAGCTCTTCATAAATTGTTTGTGCAGATCGGTTTGCGCGCGCAGGCCACCAGTGTGGCTAATCAAGTCCCAGTACCAGCCCAAGTTGATGCTTCAGAAGCCTTGGAACTTGACCCAGGAATTGTTGCCTTGTCTAAATGCAGAGTTGAAGACCTTCCCAAACACTTACAGGTTGATGAAACGCAACATGTACTACACTGGTTGGATACACTGACGGGTCAGCGTTTTGCCGTTACATGGGTGTCATACCACCAGTTATTGGTGGACTACCAGTGGCGTTTGCGACCAACTGTCCAAGGGAAAAGATGGGTCAGCCGCGACCCTTATGCTGTGAACAGTTACCCACAACAAGTACAACTGCTGGGTCGTTTTGTCCAGAACATGGCCAAGGCCATTAAGGCACCGTTGCGAACGGATCAACGGCGTCCATCCAGCCTCACGCTCACCTTTTGGAGCGGCTGCATTCGGGTATCAATTTCTGAGGAACGTTTGGCCAACATCGACAACTTCTACAAGGTGAAGGCCACCAGATTGCCTATTAGCCAGATAGTCCGAGACATGTCGGACATACCGCCAGGCTTGATGACAGAGTAGGGGTTTTCCAATTTTGGCGAGCAAATGTCTCCGCCTTTCTGAGCGTTTGCTTCCGCTGAAAGGGTGAAAGGGTGAGGCCCTGGAGCCAGTTTGGCACTGGAGCTCGTTGTGGTGGTAGTGGTAGTGGTAGTGGTAGTTGTGGTAGTGGTGGCGGTGCTTCCTCTACACCAGCTGTGGTTACTTCATCCTCAGCATTGCAAAAAGCGATTTGTGATGCTCCTGTGAAACTGAGCAGGGCAAGTGCTCCCAGGAGCGACTCGGCAGAGATTGTCAAAGACCGGCTGTCAAAATCTTTGACAAGAAAGACCAAAAACTCAATTATACTTTGATGGATGTCCTCACCGAGCTTTCAAAGACAGAATGTATGCTTGGGGTTACTTCATTGTAGCTTTGATTTTGTATAACATATCTTCAAAACATCCAATCAGATTTGATTTTCACACATAAAAACTTTGATTTTCTCAAACAAGTATAAGTTCAAACATTATTTTTTTTGCACTTCCAGTAATCATGTAGGACTGACTTCACACAAAACCAAGAAACATATTGTTAAAAGACCTTTCAAACAATTGATAATGGTCACTTTACTATGGTACAATGTTAAGAACCTGTCGAAATTCATTATCTTTTTTTCCAATCAAAAAGTACAAAATTTCAAGGTAATTTTTGCAGGTCATTTTTAAATTCCCAAAAATTACCTTGAACTGTACCCTTACAAATAAATTATGAAGTAAAAAAATACCTAGAATGTTAACTATTAGTTAGAAAATTGCCTCCAAAATCACTTTTAACTATTTTGCTCCAAATAGCGTTGCCTGACCTATAGGGTAGCTTGCGGAGAGCTTCGCTGTGAGGGAGCGACACAGCATGCCGGACGGAGAGGAAACCGTGGAAATAGCTTGGGGAGACCTTCGCTGGGAGGGAGCGAGACAGCATGCTGGACGGAGAAGAAACCGTGCAAATAGCTTGCGGAGACCTTCGCTGGGAGGGAGCGAGACAGCATGCTGGACGGAGAGGAAACTGTGGAAATAGCTTGGGGAGAGCTTCACTGGGAGGGAGCGAGACAGCATGCTGCACGGAGAGGAAACCGTGCAAATAGCTTGCGGAGAGCTTCGCTGGGAGGGAGCGAGACAGCATGCTGCACGGAGAGGAAACCGTGCAAATAGCTTGCGGAGAGCTTCGCTGGGAGGGAGCGAGACAGCATGCTGAACGGACAGGAAACCGTGCAAATAGCAGTGGAAATCGCTTGCGGAGAGCTTCGCTGGGAGGGAGCGAGACAGCATGCTGGACGGGACGAAACCGTGGAAAGAAATAGCTTGCGGAGAGCTTCGCTGGGAGGGAGCGAGACAGCATGCTGGACGGATAGGAAACCGTGCTTGCGGAGAGTGTTTTGCTGGGAGGGAGCGATACAGCATGCTGGACGGACAGGAAAGCACGGAAATAGCTTGCAGAGAGCTTCGCTGGCAGGGAGCGAGACAGCATGCTGGACGGAGAGGAAACGGTGCAAATAGCTTGCATACTATGGAGACGTTTGGAACTTAGGAACTTATAAGTTAGTTATATCGAACTTATGTTAGCCTATGTTATGATGATGCTAAGTTCAAATAAGTTCAAGAGGTGTTTTTGAGCAACTTTTAATGAAGATGTGTTTTTTGTTGTTTTTGGTATCTTTTTTCTCACGCAATGAACATAAATTGTTGGTTTTGATCCACTTTTTGGTAGCGGAGCAGGAAAACATCTTGACTTTGCAAGGTTTTCATGGGTAAGACCCGTATTTCTTCATTGGTTTTAAACCAAATGCTGGCAGCTGGGTTACGTGGCTGGTCGGTTTCGCTGCACGTTTAATACATGTCATCACCAGCACGAGCGCAGCAAAGGATTTCCACCGCCATTATGTGCGATAGAATGAGGAACTGTTTTGTAGTAAAGGTCATTTCTTTTTCATTTTTCATGTGTGTGAGCTGACCTCATGTTCTCCCACCAATTTTTTGAACATGATCTACGAATATCTACGAGCCACTGGTCGATTGGCTTTGAACGACCTAATGTACTCGTGAGATCATGTGGGATTTCTTCCGAGGGAAAGCTTTGCATCTCTTCCGGATAGCCACCCAGGTTGCGTCTCATTGTGCGGTGGGCATTGGAGCACAGGCCGCACAGAAATTTCTTTCCGTGCAGTCGCCCTTGACTTGCGTCAAAGGACTGTGCGCACAACCAGCACTTTACCTGTTCTTGCGTCTCTGGTTGAGTTGGCTGCGAGTCCACTGACGCCATGCCTGGCACCGGAGCAAGTTGGCACTGCTATAGAACAGAAAGGGGCCGCGGAATGAACGCATGCATGTTTTATAGGAAAATGCGTACGACAAAATGAGATGTATGCAAAAAACAAGACTTTTGAGGTGAACCCCGCGGTCACGGTCCCTATGCAAAAGGCAACTTTTTGGCCGCGGTCAAGTGTGTGCGCGGTCAAGTGCATTTGACTTTTTCCAATCAATGGAGGACCCCGCGGTCACGCGGTCACACAGTCATGAAGCTGTATAGAGGCACGCCGCGGTCACGCGGTCATGGCCACTCATAGCGCTCACCTTTGTTTTCTGCCGCGGTCACGCGGTCACCGCGGTCAGCCCACTGGAGCCGCGGTCATGTGATTATACATTCATACATACATATATATATATATATATCAGTGGTTGAGCTTGAAAAACTTAGAGTTGATGGATGTTGCCAAAGCACGGCTACGAAAAACATTTGTTGCAAGCACCGAGAACAGAAAAAGGGCACAGAAGTCATAGTGATCAAAGGCGCTAGCAGGGGGTGAGGGTTTTACAAATCAAGCCAAGCTGGACATGAATATGTGTATATACAAGCAGCAATGGTATATGCAGGATACAAGCAACTCCATCTTCGTTGTTTCTTTGTGATGCAGGGTGTTCCGTTTTGGCGGGCTGGATGGAACGAAGATCCCAGCGGGCAGTTTTGGCATGCAGGCAGAGGCACAATCTTGATCTTGGTGAGTGGATCACGGAGAAGTGGATGAACTTAGGAAAAAAATTGCGGTGCAAGCATGGGGGTGAGGGAAAACTTGGCAATTAAAATGGTTCATTGTTTTGTCAGATTTTACGTCTAGGGAAAACCCATTGGCTGTTGGTTTTGCAAGTTGTGCTGAGCTGATATTGTCAGTTTGCGGCAATGGCAAATTCTGGTACCACTTGCAAAGCTGCAAGAGCTGCGACGATGTTAGTGGCTCATCTTGTGCAATCGTTTCCCTCGACGCAATGTGAGCTGTGAACGCACTGTTCTGGTTTTCGGACGCGAGGCGAAGAAGCTGGGTGACATGGAGTCAGCCATTGTTGGAAACTGAGAGATGTTCATCCAGCAGTTTGGACATGGATGAAAGTCGATGTAACAAGGGGCTTGGTGAATTGAGGCCCGGCTGGCAAATACCATGGACAGAATACCATGGACATGTATGTATATATGTTGAGCGATCGAAAGGTCCTTGTAAAGAGTTGTAACTACTTGCGAAGACCTTTCATGGTATGTTGGGAACCATCGCGCAAGCGTTTGTCCGAGTTCGCAAAAGTCACATTTTTATTCGCGAAAGGATAACATTTCCTTTTTTCCCTTGCTAATATGATTTCACCTTCTAACCGTAGAAGTGTTTTTGCATACCACGTGGTCCTCTGTACTGCTACACACTTGCCTGTCAGACGTGGCAGGAGCGCGAGTCATCAACTGATGCAGCGCATCTTGCGGAAAAACAGATGCGAGGTAGAGCAAGCATGTGAGACGAAACAACTCCGTAAAACATATCTCTATAGAGATGTATGTACGTGGAAATCTAAATGCAAAAAGAAGTACGCACTGCATAACATTGTTTATACTGATGTCGCTGTAGATCTGTTTCAATGCTGCCAGCTTCTGCGATCCTTTGAAATGAGGTGGACTTGCTCATGCGATATTGCAATGGGACGGTGAAAGGTTTATTGGGACATGGGCCAAGAATGGTGAAATGCCCATATGTTCGGTAAATCTAGATTTGCGTGTGTAAACGAAATTATAAATTATATGTATATACTATATTTTCCCAGATTGACAAACTGCAGTTTCGTCGAAAGCACATCGAAGACCTTCTCGTGCAAGGTAGGAAAAGGCGTGCTGTGAGCCGTGTTGCTTTTGGGTTCGCTGGCCCACCTTGTTTTTGACTCCCTGATCTCACAAGTTGCCACACATATCCAATACAGCAGTGCACCACTCACAACAGGTGGCAGTTAGACCTCCACTGCAGCAAGGTGGATGAATGGAAGACACTGGGCCGTTGTTCTACTACCCGCTTTGGAAGGACACAGCTCTCCTCTCAGTGATCTATCAGCTTCGACTTTCCAAAAGAAGCTACTCTTGGATTGGGGCAAGCAGCTGAGATTTCGCTAAATGTAGGCAGGCAAGAACAGTGTGCGGGGCTTCAACTTTCAATTACTTTGTAGTCCATCATAACAAGAGGACGCAAATGTATGCGCACATGATCACATAAGCCGACTCCCATGTATTGGACTATTTGATGGTAATTAAGATGATCAGCCCTCATAGTCACATGGTCGAATTTATCCAACAAAGTGTGCACAGGATCTGCCCGTTGCAGGACAGCTGCGGGTTTACAGCGGTCACGTCAAGATGTCGAGGTTTGAGGAGGCTAAGGAGGCTGAACAGGAGCCTATGGCTGGACGTGAAAACGCTGGGATCCAGCTATTGGGAAAACATAGTGAACATATGTGAACAATGCTACCTGTGGCATCCTGTGGCATTTACAGCATGGGACTGGATTGATGTTTGTGATTCTATGACAGTTAGATAATTGACGCGAACTTTGCCCTTGCACTGCTGCTGTGGAATGACGCTTCGCCACATGAATTGTCCACCCAGTCAGTACAGGCATTTGTGTCACCCCCACAAGTCTTAAAGACAACCGGAGGCGGATTTGTTTTTGTTGTGTGTTTGACTTG